TTGGCTTTGTGTTATTTTACAAGTCAGTCTATGCTAAATCAGCCCACTTACTCAATTCCTATATAGTATGTCAATATCAGTATGTCATGAAATTTACTAGTTGGAATTATACACTGGCAAAAGAAAATCTTAGGAAAAACTGTGGCACATCTTGTACTGGAATGCTTTCTGTATTAATGCAGCGTACCATTGCCAAGGGAACATCTACCTCTTTGAATTGATTTCTGGAACTCCTAATTTTGGTATTTGAGTACATGGCTGTGGTTGATTGACTAAAACAGCCTGAAGATGATGATGTAAATGGCTCCCTGTAATACTTAAATGCTTTCTAATTACTTGATTTTTCCATATTGCTTAGTAATTACTGCTGGAAGGTTCATGTAATTTTTGTCTGAGGAATTTCACTGCTTCCACGCTTGCCCTTCTGCTTCCCAGGAGCTCAGTCTTTGAATGAGGCAGATTCTAGTATTTCAAAGAAAGGATTTAATATCAAGTTTCATTTAAATACAAGCTCAATTGGGATGTAATGTCATTTAAATATAAACATTTATTAAATTGAAATTTTAAAAAAAGCTTTTCGGTTACTAATTCCCAGACTAAAAGTTAAGCATTGCTTTACTTTTGTCTTTTACCAAGTTTCTTTTAATTTTGTGTTCATTTTCTTACTTTAAAAAGTCAGTTTGAATATTTGCCCTTGAACCAGGTTTTTGAAATTGCTTAATTTAAAACACTGATTTTGAGAAATCTGAAAGTCACCTAAGAGCAGACATTAAGAATCACCTGTAGGACTGCATATTACTGATACGGTATTTTCCTTGTGTTCCATGTTGTGCTGAGTTTGCCTGAATGAGCTTTTTCTATCAAATAAAAAAATATTATGACCTTGCTTTTACTTTTCAGATCTGCATATATCTTTGACAGGAGATGGTCAAAGAGAGCAAGGCTGTTTAAAATCCAGTTATCCCATATATTGGATTGTCTCATTTCAGTTTTGAAGAGAATCTAATTTACCAAAGCTGGAAGAGAGAAATGAAGGGGATTTTGTCCATTTAAATTACATGAAATATTCTGAAATCTCCCTCAGAAAGTACCACATAATGTGAAAAAGACAAATGCATAAAGGCTAGAAAAAACTCCACCACCTTATACTTGTCATGACTAAAAGGTCAAGAGAAATACTAATGAACCAGAGCAAATCAAAGTTGGCACTGTTTAGATACCCTGTAACTGTTTACAGTCAGAGCAAAGCCAGTTCATATTGGACACAGAATTTTTTGTGAACATTAAAGAAAATTTCTCTTCATTGTAAATGCTAAATGAACTACTTCACTATGTAGTTGATGTATAGTTGTTTGTTGTCCCTTTACTAAGGGTTTACTTTTGCTCAAACTGTTTTTTCCCTTTTCACTCCTAATATCTTCTTGAGCTTGGATAGAAGGCAGTAACTCAGAAAGAGCTGCCTCTTGTTTGATCTTGATGAAATGGTTTAGCTTTAGACACTTGTTGTCATCTAGTACTTTATAGATTGCTACTGAGATTCCTTTTAAACTGAGAAAACGTACTGTAAAGACTCATTTAAAATCATGGATTTAATTTAAGATATTTCTGATGCGTATTAAATATGCTTTATTCATATGGACAGTGCACACTTTCCTCATTTTAAAAAGGTGAATTTGTTTAGTAAAAATTAAATGATAACTAGCTCAGTGAAGAGTGATAACACTGTGATAATACTGTGTCAGGGTGTTAATTTAGGATGGAGTCATTGTTATGATGACAATGATGATTATTATGGGTAATTCTGTATGCTCTATTTACTTCCCTTTGAAGAAAATAAACATGGAGAATGGCCCTGCTTTTGTCTGGGATAGAGTTAATTTTCTTCTTTATAGCTGTTCTTTGAATTTAGGATGAGAATAGTCTTGATAACATGCTGAAATGCTAAGTCAAAGACTCCAGTTTCTCACAGTGCCCTGCCAGTGAGGAGGCTGTGTGGTATTAACTGCCTGCCAGGTTAAACCACAACAAGAATGAAGTAGTAGTTAATTTCTGTAAAAGTGAAGTAGGTTGATTGAAAACAGTTATGACAAGTTTTATAATTTTAAGGAGATAAACAAGTTTATAATATATATATTTGTAGCAGATCTTGTAGGTGGAAAGATATATTGGCACTGGAACAGGCTACCCAGCGGAGATGTGGATGCGCCTGGAAGGGAAGTGTTCAAGGACAGGTTGGATGGGGTCCCAAGCAACCTGGTCCAGTGGAAGGTGTTCCTGCCCACGGCAGGGGGGTTGGACCTAAATGACCTTTAAGGTGCCTTCCAATATAAGCCATTCTATGATTCTATGAAAAAAACAAACCTAAGTACTCATTTGCAAAATGTTAAATGTATTCATGAGTCTTTCCTTACTGGTCTCAGTTTTGTACAGTTGATCAGGAAGAATGACTGCATAGCACTTACTAGAATCTACATTAAAGAAGAATCTTAAATGAGACAAAGCATTTCTGTTTTGGTGCCTGCTTCAACTTTGGATGCAAACAGTTTATAAAGGAAGCGCCCAGTTTATCCTCAGCCTCACTGTGGAATTAAGAATCACCTGGCATCACTGCTGCTGCAAAATAATTGTTTGCATTTTTTCGCAACAAATATTTGCTTGGTTTGTTTACATGCCAATACATTACTTCCAGAACATGAATTTCAAAGAGAGATTACCTGGGTCAATTTGAAACATATTTAATAATTGCTGATACGCTACCATAGTTGATACCTTTCACCCTCAGTACATGAATTTAATCCTGTTCCATTGTCAGGAATAAATAGGAATGGAAACCTTTCTTTCTAAGACTAGCTAATCCAACTGGATTCACACAGCAATCAATTCTGCAGGCTGGGAAGGTACAGTTTCCTCATAAGCTGTCTGTTGTTGAGTGAATTCCTAACAATCTGAATCCCAGACACATCATTCTGCTGAGTCTTTGAAGTGAGATCATTATAAGTCTCGGTGTGCCTGTAGCTTGAGCAGCTAGTAACACTTTTGTTCTGTGCAGAGGAAAACAAATTTTCATCCATTATATGTTTTCTGGTTTATAGAGAGGAATCTTAACGAACTCTCTGCCTCTGAGGAATTCTGTACGATAGTCCTCTTTTTGTTTAATCATCAATTTCTATTTAAGACATTGGATTGATTTTACAAACTAGTGTAGCAGTATCTCTAGGGAAGCAAGCTGATCTGCTGGTTTTTATAGTTTTAGTATGTTTCATCAACTCCATAGCTTAAGGTTTTTGTTGGCCACTAGTAGAGGCCAGGAAAGATCTGTATTTCATTTAGATTTACATGTCTCTGAAACAGCAACAATAAGATGAAGGGCATGTTTTGTTATGTTTTATTTTAAGATGCTGAAAACTCTATTGTGACCACAGAGGATATGTGAAATAAATGAGGTGGAACTGTTTGAATTCACTGGGCATTGGGCAGGTCTGTGCAGGGAATGGTCTGTCTAAAGAGTCACTGCCTGTTAAATGCAGCTTTAAACTGACAAAGCATTATACTATCTATAATATATTTTTAGTTGCACAAACAAGTAATATGTATGTTGACTTCACAAAAAGAAAATTCTGTGCATTTAGCTTAAAGCTGTAACACAGTAGTTCGCAGACTTCTGACTACAGGTGTGAGCCACTGCTGAATGTGCTGTACTGTTTCCTCTGTTCTGATCTGTTTTTAACCTCATGGACACACAAAAAAATGAAGGAAGCAGGAAAATGAAGTGATTAAAAACTGGATGTAGTAATATTTCCATCTAGGCAAACACAAAACACTGCCACCCCAGAACTATATAAATGGTCTAGCAATACCTGATCAAGCATTGGTGAGACACTGGCACGGGTTGCCCAGGGAGGCCGTAGAAGCCCCAGCCCTGGCAGTGTTCAAAGCCAGGCTGGATGAGGCCTTGGGCAACCTGGTCTAGTGGGGAGGTGTCCCTGCCCATGGCAGGGGGGAGTTGGGACTAGATGATCTGTAAAGTCCATTCCAACCCCTAAAATTCTATGATTCTATTATCTGATTTTCATAGTCTTATTTTTTAAGGAACTTATAGAAATGTGCATGCTGTGTACAAATGATGAGATTTCATCAAACCTCTGAGGTAGAATTCTTTGCGCTTGAGTTATTTTCAGTTTTGTACCCTAGTAAGGGAGTGGAAACCGAGTAAAATACTTCACAGTAAGTGTATCTATAGCTCTTGCAGTCATGGGAAATACTGTTTATGCTGTATGTTTTTTAGTGTTATGATCACTAAATGTTTTTCCTAATCTAGACAGAACTGAAGTATTCATTTTCTTAGCAATGCTTTGCAGAAAGGTAAAACAACATGAGCTCGATGATTTAAGTAGGTGAGGGATACAAAGTGCACTGCTAAGGCTGTCAAATAGGCACGGTTTTGGTGCTGAAGAGATTAAAGCACAGTTCTGCCCTCTCACCAGCACCTCTCTGCCAATGCATCCACATGTTTGCCAGAAAAGTCTCCCAGCCTTACAGTTGCACTGCTGCTACACATGACTGGAGCAGCTGCTCTCTTGGCTGAGCTGATTTGAGCTAAACATCTTGGCACTTTTTATATACAGAGCTCTTTGGGAATCACACAAGTGATACCCTTACAACTGAAACCTTTGAAAATTCTATGTAGCAGTTGAACTATAGAGAAGCCTAATGCAGACTGACACCATTGTTTTAAAAGACACTTTGATTGGATTGTAAGGGGGGAAAACCAAGGCAACCAACAAGCTGTCTGAGGAAATAGGACATCATGATGCTTGCTTATATTATAATATAGTTGTATTTATACTATATGTAACATAGTGCAGTTAGAATATTTCCCAAGAGGCCAAAAGTGGAGGTTCAGTCTTACCTCTCAGGAGAATATCCCAATGACTAACTGATTTTCAGATGAATGGAAATATCTAAATTGTTCACTTTTCTGGGTAAAATTCTTGTGATTCTTGATTTCTATTTTAGAAAATCTGTGCAGAAATTATGTGAAAGCTTTTGGATAAATAAGTAAAATTTTATTTCCTCCCCTTACATATATTTTTTTAAAAAAACAGTGGGATTATGACTTGACTATAGAATATGCATTATTCAGAAACAGTATATAAAAGTGTTTTGGTTTTTTTCCTGAAATTATTTGCTTAGGATGAATTCTTAGCCTTTCTAGAGGGAAACACTTCTAAACAAAACTACTAAGTAGGTCCCAGCCAAAAGCAGCACAAAACTATATTACTATATATATAGTTATATATCTAAAAATGTTGAGGCAAATAGATTCATATTTACACGTAGCAGTAGCAGTGCTCAGACTGCCATGTTGGGAAGTTAAAGTTGTGCTCTTACTTTCTCTCTGAAGCTAAGAGTGAGAGCCCCTGGTTTAAGTTTACACTTGCATCATTGTGTTTTAGAATAACTTCTGGAAATTCACAGTTGGTCTCATTGCAAAACGGATAACTAAGTGGGTTATATGGCTTGGGACTTAGAAGGGACTGGTAAAGGAAAGCTAAGGTCACAAACTTGAATATAAATATCTACAAATGGCTGAGGCAATGCTAACCTGTAGTAAGCAGTTTAGCACTGCTAATTTTTTAGTGTATCTGCATTGTTGAGCTCACCAACAAAACTGCTCAAAAGTACTATTGCTTTTGAATGTCATTATTTTAAAGTATTTCAGATCGTGTTCTGCTATTGTTCTGAACCATGTTCTAAACATTTATAGTCTTTGCTGGAAACAGAGTGAAGAAAATGCATTTACAGTGACATTTTTCATCTTTACTAGGAAACCCGGTTAGATGACCATCATCATGTTGCAGTGGCACTCGGGAAACAGGAGGGATTTGTACAGAAGAATTCTGATGTAAGAAATCATGAAACATTCAGGTTTTGGTAATCACTGGAACATACTCTTACACTGTAGCTAAAAGTGTATTATCTTGTGTATAGGGCCAAGGAGAAAGCTTATCTTAAGCGCTATATTCACCAGAACTGAGCACTATTACTGAACTGTGTCCTCTAGTTCTGTTGTACCTATTTCAGGAAAGGTCTGGGAAGGAAAAATGGTTTCAGAGGACAGCAACAGATAATGTCAAATCTGGAATGCATATATTACATTGTTCAGCATGTTCATTCAAGAGAAGATTAAGTGGTTTTTGTCACAGCCTGCTAGTACTCATGTGGGAAAGATGGTTTTCACAGAGGGAAATGGAGACAGTGAACCAATCTGGACTGCTAAACTTGTACGACACCTCACCAAGTTGATTTTAATGGGAGACTGTCAGTGCATGTATCCCAGAGCAGATCCATTGCTCAAACACCATTATGACAAGATAACCCTTGAGACAAGTAACAACAAGCAACAGATGGGAAGAACAGCAGTGTTATTCTTCATTCCATGTGGTGTCTCTATTGAGAGAAGGAACAAAGCTACTTAAAAGCTTTTCAGGGGTTTTTGTGTAATTTAACAAAGGCCTGGGTCATGAAAATAGCAATAAAAGTCAAATTTGAAGGAGAGGCAGACTGGTAAATTACAGCTGAAATGGCCAGACAGTCAGCAAAGGGGAGTGTGACAAATGGGCAGATTTTTCCATGGTGTTTTAGTTGCTCACAAGAAAATAGGTTCATTGTTTTCTGTTATTTAGATACGAAGATTCTGCCAAGAACCAGAAAAAAATTAGTATAGGACCAGATAAAAGGATAAAAGTGGTAATGCACACATCTATCATGGTAATAAAGTCTAAATCTATGTTCATGGATAACACGGAGAGGCAGAACTTGTAACTAGTATTGATTAGATTTAAAAAAAGTATAAACTGCTTTTGAGGATTTACTGAGGTAAAACAGTGGACAAGTACTTTTAAAGAAAATATGTTCATTCTGTTTGTTTGACAGGACATACTTAAGTTCCCAGTGGGGCTGCATATCATCCTTCCAACAGGAATGCTGATAAATGTCAGTCTGAGGTGAAAAGAAAGTGGCCATTTTATCTAAAGCTAATTACCTAAGCATTCAACAAAAATCCAGGATTTTTAAATACTGACCTTCGCCATCACTGGCACATAGCTTAAAGTTACCATAGAAAGAGTAGTTATGATATCAAGAGTTATGATTAAAAGTCTTTGAATCAAGGGAAGTCTCAAAGGCATACTTGTCCACTGACTAAATGTGTGACTACCTGAATTTCATTATCTCAATTCACTGGAAAAAAAAGGCCATTTAAAGCAGACCAAGTGAGCATTCTGTCAGTCCCCAGTATGAAAATTAAATGAAAATTTATGTACTATTGCAGTGTGTCTTTTCAGGCCTCCTTCTAACAGGAATGTGGAGGAATTGAAAATGGCCTTCTCTTCGTAACAACTGTAGAAAAGGATTCTATGCATTGCTAGATGTGTTGAGAGAAAAAGGTGTTCATCCCGGTCTAAAATGTGTGTGTAGACATTATGCAATTGTTTCAGGATGTCAGTTTTTGTTTTTGTTCCTCTCTACAATCAGAGGAGTAGTTCATTATGTCCTGTTTGCAGAACATATACTTTCAGCTTTCTTCCCAACCTGATGACAAGTACTTACAATTCACAGGAAAGACCAATCCTTATGTTAATGTATTATAATTAAAAATATCTAGTGTCATGAATCTTAATAGAATATCTGCTAGTGACAGCTATATGCTTGAAGAAACAGAACATTTATCTGTACTCTTAACCTAGATCTAGATGGTTATCTGAGGTGAGTCTCAGTGAAAGATGGATGAGTTTGTAGTTCTTTATAATTTCTATGTAGGCTACAAAATATCTTTTCATCTATCACTTGCTAAATTTCACAGGATTTGTGGTGAATTTAGTCAGAACACACTTGCCTTCAGACAAGCATGTGCTGAAGTTCAAAGTAGATCTGTTGACATCTACTTAGCTCCAAGGCTTAGTTTGTATTTGGTATGCATCTGTGATGTCACTTGCATGGCTCTAGGCACAGTTTCTGCAGCTTTACCTCATCTCCAAAATGTCAGACGAACAGGAATGTCTCAACACCATGTCACTTGTGTAAGGACATAAAGTGACAAGCAGCTCAATAACTTTTGCTTTCAGTCTGCGTTGACAGCTTAAGAGTTTTTCTGTGCTTTTAAAACAAACACAAACCATTTTGTTGTCTCTGTTCCTAATAGTAGCTTTCTGCTCAGACACCAAAGCAGAGAATAGACATTTTTGTTCTTTTGCCTGTTTACTGACCTACTTCATTGATGTGACAGGAAGGGATAAAATCCTCAAACTAGACCTTAGATGGGGTCACTTCCAGCACTTGCATGTAAACAAGCAAGGGCCTACAAGCACAATTATGAACAAATCCTCCAGACATTCTCCAGGAACTCAACATGCTGAGATGCCTCTGAAGTGCCTGTACACTAGTACAGGCAATATTGGAACATGATGAGTTGGAGATCTGTGTGCAGTGGCAAGGCTTTGATCTTGTTGGGTTCATGGAGGTGTGATGTGGTTACTCCCATGGCTGGAGCATTGTGATCAAGCAGTACAGGCTTTTTTGGAAGGAGGGGCAGGGAAGATGAGGAGGAGTTCCCCTTTTTCTGAGAGATAAGCTGGAGTGCCTGGGAATGGGTGAGGAGCCATCTGAGACTTTATGGGTTAGGATTATGGAGAGGGCAAGTCAAGGTGACTTTATATTGCGTGTCTGCTACAGGCCACCTGACCAGGAAGACCAAGTATATCAGGTCCTCTACAGACAGGTAGAAGCAGCCTCCTGTTCACAGGCCCTGCTTCTCAAGGGGAACCTCAACCACCCTAATATCTGCTGGGAGAGACAGAGCAGGACATAAGCAATCAAGGAGACTCTGGAAGTCCATTGTTAACTTCCTTGTCAAGTGATAGAGGAGTGCTGAACCTCCTGCTCACTATCAAGGAGGGGTTTGTTGGGAATGTGAAGGTCAAAGACAGCTTCGGCTGCAGTTAGCATGAAATTGTGGAGTTCAGGATCCTGAGGGCAGTGAGTAGGGCTTACAACCCTGAACATGAGGAGAGCAGACTTTGTCCTTCTCAAAGGTCTGCATGAAATAGTCCCGTGGGATAAGGCCTCTGAGGAAAGCTGAGCCCAAGAAAGCAGCTTAACATTCAGAGATTACCTCCTCCATGCGCAAGAGGGTTCCATCCCAAGGCACAAGCAAAAAGGCCAGGAGGCCTGCATGGATGAACAAGGGGCTTCTGTCCAAACGCAGACACAAAAAGGGAAGCATACAGAGGGTGGAAGCAAGGATAGGTAACCTGAGAGGAGTACAGAAATAATTGTCTGAGCACCCAGAGATGAAGTTAGGAAACCTATAGTCCAAATGGAATTGAATCTACCCAGGGATGTCCAAGGCAACAAGAAGGGCTTCTTTAAGTGCAGAGAAGCCAAAGGGAAGTGTGGGGAAAATGTGGGCCTTTTGCTGAACAAGACAGAGTCCCTGAGTACAAAGGACATGGAAAAGGCTGAGGTACTGAATGCTGTCTTTGTGTCAGTCTTTATTAGCAAGACCAGCCTTCAGGAACCCCACGTTGCAGGGGTGAGAGAGGAAGGGGCAAGGAACATGTACCCCTGGAGGAGGGTAAAGTCAGGGAATGCTTAAGCAAACTGGCTGTGCATAAGTCTGTGAGAATTTATGGCATGCACCTGGCAGATGTCATTGCAAGACCACTCAATCTCAGGTTGATCATGGTGATTGGGAGAAATGCCCAAAGACTGGAGGAAACCAAATGTCACCTTATCTTCAAGAAGGAGGACCTAGGGAATTAGAGGTCTGTCAGCTTCACCTTGATCTCTGGAAAGGTAGCGAAGCAGAGGATAGCTTCACCAAGAGAAAGTCATGCTTGACCAACTTGGTAAACATCTACAGTGA